TGATCGATCCCCAGGCAGGGCCCATACACAAATCACTGGCGAATGCATAAGTAAGGGGAACAACAAATCTATGTTTCTCTTCTCTCTATCGAAAAAAACAAAACAAAAATGGGGGTGATAATGTGTTTACCCCCAGAGGGTTTGAGTGGGCAGAGGAGTTGCCCCTATAACGTGCTCAGCATAGAGAATAGTCACTAATTTAATCACAACAACAGCGATAATGGAACCCGTGCTCTTGTTTTTTGATCACTTGCGGTTTGGTCCCTGGTTTGCAGGGTGGAATATGGGGGTCCCTGTGGAGACCCTCACCGAGGGGTCCCTCACTCTCTGATGTGCCTTTGGTGTTTCAGGGTGAGCTGTTAGGCCTTGAAACCCTGGGTTCCGGTCCCAGCTCTGCCCCCTGAGCTCTGAGTGACTTCAGGTAGATTACTTCATCACTGTACCCCAGTTTGCTCCTATGGGACTCATAATAGCCCTGTCCCAGGGGCGGTAGTGGGGAGTCAAGGAGTTGATGCTGGTACATCTCTGGCAGGTTCATAGTCAATAAATGTAGCTGTCAGGTTCATCATTATGATTGTCATTTAAAAAATATATTTTTATTGATTGATTTTAGAGAGAGGAAGGTATGGAGAAAGAGAAACATCGATTTGTTGTTCCACTTATTTAAGCATTCATTATTTGATTCTTTTATTTGCCCTGACTGAAGATCAAACCTATAACCTTAGTGTATTGGGACAATGCTCTAACCAACTGAGCTACCCGGTACTTTCATACTAAAAAGTGTTCCTGCTTTTAAATGACACTGAATCTTTAAGTGGTTTTCACCAGAAGAGATGTGTCTCCAGTTATTTCCCTCCCTTAATTCTTTATGTGACCTTTGGCAAGTATTTTCACACCCTCTTTAGAGCCTTGGTTTCTTCTATAAGATTTATAAATGAGTTAGACAGGAGGAGCTGTAGGAGGAAAATGTACTCAGAATTCTCTAGTATCTACCTATTCCTCTTTCAGTGTAAACTCTGTCAGTATTATGTGAAAAATTCATGTCTTTGAGGTCCCTGTAGTAATACTGGCCTGATTTGGTCTCTGTTTAGGTTGCATCTGCTCTGGAAAAATGGAAGACAGCCATCCGTGAAGCTCAGACCTTTTCCAGAATGCATGTTCTACTTGGGATGCTTGATGCCTGTATCAAGTGGGATATGTCAGCAGAAAATGCCAGGTGCAAAGTTTGTCGAAAGAAAGGTAGGTATATTTAGGTCAGTGCTGCTTATTTGAATGTATCAGGAACTGTGACTTGTTAACACAGATCTTTTCTCCCCTAAAGAATTTTGAGTACACAGCATTTAAATGTGGTGGGACAGATATTACCTGCTGGAGTTCTATAATAAAATGCTAATCTGAAATCCCATGTTCACAAATCAGAGTAGGCCCTTTGTTCCCCAATATTGAGTATAAAATAAGAGCAGTTGCTTTCCAATCTTTAAATTCTATACAGGGAAGAAAATTAGTTAACCTAAACATTTTAACCTTACTGTCTCTGAATTTTAGTCATCTGTGAAGTAGGACAGGTGCTACCACCAGAGGGCAGTACTTGTACATTGTGAGGAATACTCAGGTTTGGGTTTTCCAGCAAGAATTCTACACAGCAAAGGCATTTGGGAACCGTTTAATGCTGAGAGCTTTCTAAGTCCATGTGTGTAAAAGGAACTTCATGACTACAAGCCTCCCTCAGTGATTCACTTTTCAGTGGCTAAAATTCTTTTGTGAATTTGGCTTGAATTTAATTTCCAAAAACAGTTGCCCTAAGAACTGATTTAGAATGAAAGTTGGGGAGGGGACATGGCCATGGTAAGTTGGTTCAGTGTATTTTCAGATGTAGGG